AAGGTCCATCCACTACATAAAAGAATGATGGCTTTGATCTTTAGCTTTTCTCATGTTGAAAAACGTGCTCAGATATTTTCAAGGCTAAGATAAATATCATTTATATTTATTTTGTAGTGTTTTGTGTGCATCGTGATGGGAATAACAGACAAACAAGTGACGATGGAAATAGAAACCATGTATGACAATGTCGAAATGACGCTGACTGACAAGTTGAAAGAAGAGCGAAAGCGCGCAAGACGAGGTGAGCAAGATAATTGTCTTCTAGCAAAAATATATCTTGTCTTTACTCCAACGAACGTCAATAAGTTGTTTCACTTACTTTTTTACGGTGCTAAATATATGTTTTTGCACTGAACGTTTTGTTGAAAGCCCGGTTACACTTGCGATTTTCAGTGCGCGACAGTCGCCCTTCAAAAATCGCAACTTTAAACTGGCCTTTAAAAAAACCGACACAGCTCACACTAGTTTACCGCTAGTTTCCAACAAAATAAATCTTGTCCTACTTCATACGAGTAGAATTTGGTCTCAACTTTTAAGAGATAAAGATAAGATTTGCATGCATTTGTGCCATGAAAAGATCCCTATCGTAAATGTAGTGTCTTAAAAAATCAGATGGAATAGAAGAGGTCGGCAATCTAATCGATGTAACGTATGTTGCTTATATTCAGTGCTATGCTTGTCGATGGGAACGCTGGTGTTTTTGCTTTTTGGATTGTCTGTTTTGGCCTTTGAGCTGTTCTACCCTGGGTCAGCCCTAAGGGAGGCGATCTGCAAAGCAGGGAGTATGGACGGACATTGGGCTACTTATAAGTTTATTGGATTGTCAAAAGATCAGGTAACAGACTATATAAATATTTTTTTAAAGTCTTTGTTTTTAGAGGGCAGTGCGTAAAATAGTCTCTAGACTAGTAAACTTTTTTGGCCTCTATTATTTACTCTACCGTAACATTGATTATTTTTTAGTTTTTATCCGAAAAAATAAATAAATAAATAAAGTCTTTTATTCTCCTTGTAGTCTTACTTTGTTAAAGGCGTTGAATTTGCTTCGTTTGACAAACTAAAAGAAAAAGTCAAACCAGCGTTGGATGATGTGTCTCCACT